TAAACTTCCTCAACGAGACTATTACCCCCGTCTCCTTTGCCAAAGATCTAGGAATGCCAATCGACTCTTATTTGACATATGACCAGCATATCACCAACCTGGTTTCCTCATGTATGAATTCCCTGTGCCAAATAAACCGAGTCAAAAAATGTTTCGATAAAGAAGCTTTAACTCTCATCGTCTCGGCACTTGTAATGAACAAAATGTTCTATTGTTCAACGGTTTGGACAAACACTTCGTCTACCAACATTAAGAAACTACAGTTGGTACAAAATTTTGCATGCAGGATAATAACAAATATTGGAAAGTTCGACCATATTTCGCCGGGCTTACGTGAACTTAACTGGCTCCCAGTAAAGGAAAAATTACTACTAAGAGAGGCTATTATGATGTACAAATGTGTCAATGAACTTGCTCCACATTATTTGAGCGATTTATTCACAAAACGTTCTGACATTCATCAACGAGATACACGTAGCCATGACTCACTGCAAATGCCATTGTACAAAACTTCTGCAGGTCAAAGGTCCTTTCATTATAGAGGCGTTACACTCTGGAATGATTTGGACATAAAGTACAAAAAGTTAGACTCCCTAAACACTTTCAAAAACGAACTGAAGCGAAGCATGCTAGAACAAATATATAAGTAGATAATTTTACCTTGTTAAACTTTATACAAATGTCTTACCTTTTTACCTTAATTTAAATTCTAGATTCTAAAACTTGTAAATAGAACAACATTTATTTTTTGTAAATCAGTGTTGAAAATCCCTATTTAGGGAACACAATAAAGTATGTATGTATGTATGTAACTAAACTATAGTAGGCCTACTCTAGTGTTCTATAGTGGGTCAAGTGAGAAGATTCCAAAATGAACTGAGCACCAGATTTTGTAATTGTTCAAATTAATTTGCCGTCCCATAATAGCCACAAATAATCGGGTATCCATACTGTAAAGTTTTAACAAATATTGCCCGCCGTAGCCTGCATGGCAGGCGGTCCCATCCGCCCACACGGTTTACAAACTCGGTCGGATAGTTCCGAGGTAGAAGTAACTTCGATTCCTAAATGAACTGAACACAATTCGGCTTATTGATCGGCCAAGGTTTTGCCACTGTCGTAATCGTTTCTTTTGCTTGCCTAAATTCTCCGACGATATATAAGATATTTTCTCTATTGCCCCGTGCTTTAGTTTCAAAGCACACTTAATACACAAACTATATAATTAGGGTTAACCTTCCGATCCTCCTGCAAGGACCTGCCTCCTGTATATAGCTCGTAGGTATCTTGATTAAACATTCGAGTTTGCTACGCCACTGGCGAAGGTAGTGACTAGTGGCAAATATCATGTCTATAGCTAAAAAGTCAGGGCCGGGTGTGCTAACATTACAAACCTACATCTAAGGCTGGGAGTACATTATACCGGATTCAGGGACGCCGGAACTGGGGGGCAGGAGGGGCAAGGGGGGCAAAGGTGCCCTTTCAATTTAAAGGATTGCCTTGGCGAAATAGCGAGTTGTCAAAAATGTTAGTGCGATTCTTTTACGAATTTGCTTTAGAAAACGCAAGAAATGCGGTCATCGAGCTTCAAGAATAACACAATCGCTTGACCGAGAACCCCCTCACACCCCTAACATCCAATAAATAGAAAACATGATTGAGTGAAGTTCAACTCCCGATGTTTTGCAAAAATCTCTCGGTATATATCAATTCAAAAGTGCCCTTTCACGCAAATCTGCCCCCCTTGCCTTCACATCGTTCCGGCGTCCCTGACCGGATTGATTTTCATACTGGATTAATTTTCACTCCGAAATAAAAAACAATGTTTACAGAAGGTCCAGATGGGGGGGTCTGAAAATCAGTAAACAGTAAAAGTTTTGGTATTTTAACGGTAACAATAAGTAACATTTTGGTATTTTAACGGTAAATCTTTGAAAAGTGCTCTGAAACGCTAAACAGTATTTTTTCCTCACGATTCACGCTAAATTTTTAGTGTTTTCACGACTGACAGTAACCGAAATTGAGTGAATCACGACTCACGATATACCCCATCAACACCCTCTTTACACTATGCATGCGGCTTCGCTCTGTTGCCAGCTCATGTCTCGCTGTCGCCAGCCATGGAAACAAATAATACTTTTTGAAAGTATACTAAAATTTATTAAAAACAAGAAGTAACACACGTTTTCTTTGTAAAGTATAACTCTGTTTAAAAAGCTTGACTACCAGACGTTGCTTCGTTTCGCTCTAGTCCAAAATTGACGAGTATTTGCCCTATCGAAGCGAAAAGTCAATTGTTATTATAGTTTTATTTATTTGTCTTCGCCAGAAATAGTAAATGGTTTAATTTAAGGCGAAACAAACGATAGCTCTAAAATATTGTAAAAGCGAGCAAATAAAGGCGACAATGGTAAACCCAAAACGCCAAAACAGATTTTGTACCGAAGCGTACCGGATTGGAGTTTATCTATTGGTCGAGTGTCGAGTGTCGAGGGTTAAATGTCGAGGGCGAGGGTAAAAAGTCAAGGGCGAGGGTAAAAAATCGAGGGTGAGGGTAAAAAGTCAAAGGTGAGGGTAAAAAGTCGAGGGTGAGGGTAAAAAATCGAGGGTAAAAAAGTCACTAAAAATACAAATTCAATGGTTAGGTAACGTGTCTTCTCGGCAGTATTGTTATTGCTGCGGAGCGAGCGAGCCTGAAGCGAGCGAGCGTAGCAGCAACCTAATATATGCAGAGAGGGGGTTTTGAACTAAATTTTATTTAGCGCATGGAATTGTGGTCGTGCGCGATTTCTATGCGCAGAACACACATTTTAAACTAGCTCGAGTCTTTGATTTTTATCGAATTTCTAAAGCTTTTTCATGTCTAATGTTACGCTTACATTTGTATTGGACTTTGGCCACTGTCAGTTCTATAGTTTTGGTTTCTTAGTGTGATAAATCTGTGTATATAGTCTATATAATGTGGTAAATGCGCCTAAACAGACTTGATATGAAATCTGATCTTAATTTACCTGTATGTCAATGAGACTCCCATGTTTATTAAATATCTGTCACCTCTGACTGCCCTTTAACCCCTGGTCTTTGCTACTTCAATATATATTGCTTCTTCTCAGTTCTATTCACAGCTCACTAATGGCTGCGAGTAATCACTGTGTTTGATATAATCTGTGCTGTTTACTGTAGTTCTATTTGCTTTTAATGCCCGCAGCAATCCCTACCTTGCAGGTACCCTAGTATAATATGCGTTCCACGCACACACGTTGGGTGATGTTTTCGCCTTTATTGGCAGATCAGGTTATTGACATATTCGATATGCCGTGATCCACTGGCTCGAATAAACATATTTGGCATATCACGCCTCATATATCCTAAGTCCTCACTTGCATCTTGCATTCTGCTCTCTTGATTTGATCTTTATTTGATCGATATTTCGCTTTCAATTTCGCTGAAAATGTCTTCAGACAAATTATATTCCGATGCTGTACGGTCAGGAAGTTCTGATGAAGATGTAGCCTCTCCTTTAATTACAGGTGTTTCAAAAAAGGTTTTCCTTCAAAAATCTCAAACCTTAAACTCTGAGACTGAGCGCGCAAGGTGTACTAGGGTTATTTTCCCAATCAAAAGCCCTAAAAATTTGAATCTTAATTTGAATTAGCTGTACTATAATTAGTCATTGTTGATGCTGTTTCTGTTCATGTTAGTTAGTTAAATAAATAACAATCATAAAATTGACTAAAGCCCGGATAAAATTGGTACCCGTACCACTTTAGGTAGTCCAAGAACCAAAAAGTGGTACGGTACCAAAAATTGAGCGTAGTGTAAACGGGACTTAGCTAAATAGGTAGTCCAAGAACCAAAAAAGTGGTACGGGTACCAATTTTATCCGTGCCGTACCAAAAATTGAGCGTAGTGTAAACGGGGCTTAAGTTTCAATTTTATTAGTCATATTTAAAACACGAATTTGCTTGTGGACACATTACAATGGTACAATATTCGGCGAGACCGGCAATGATGACAACAAGTAACTTGACTTCTATTTTTTAAAATAGCTTAAAAGCTATTGTTTCGTGTGCACTCAAGAAAATTTGGAAAGCGTTAGAATTGGAGGCCCACGATTATTTGATTTATTTTGAACGCAGGATTGTTTATAAAGAGTTCTGTCTATCTTAAGATTTAACGGTAGGTACACTCGGAGTTCTACGCCTGTGTTTCACACCTTAATCTGCTTTGCGGAATAATAATTTAGCCGATTAAGCGCATACAGAAAGAACCTTGTATATATATCAAGTTGCGATATTAATTGCCCCTACAATCCCTACATTATCGGTTTATTTATTGCCGGTTAAAGCAGGGCGCTTTGTTTTAAAGAGCCCTGCTTAGTATGTAATATACTGTAGTTTGTGTAGAAAATAAACAATATATAACTGATTATATTGCTGTCTGCACGGCTGCATGCAAATGTAGCAGGACGCAAAGCCACGCTGTGGCATAAGAGAACATTTAAAACGCAGAATACGCTACGTGTCGTATATAGTATATGTGCGTGGAACGCATATTTGGTTTAAAAGTGCTCATATAACAATACTGCCGAGAAGACACGTAGACGTCGTTATGGCCTTATCCAAAGCGGTTACCTGACCTTAATATTGTATTTTTTTGTGATTTTTTCACCCTCTACTTTTCACCCTCAACTTTTAACCATCGACTTTTTACCCTCGACTTTTAACCCTCGACTTTTTACCCTCGCCCTCGACTTTTAACCCTCGACTTTTTACCCTCGACTTTTTACCCTCGACATTTAACCCTCGACACTCGACACTTAGTCTCCCTCGCAGACGTTCTTATAGCTCTAACCCTCGCTAACTAACGTCTGCTGAAACGAGCTGCACATTCCATTCCCTCCGAATCTCCGATCGACCAATCACAGCGAACCTTCTATATTTCGGATAGTGATTTACGGGCGGAATAAATAGTACATAAATATTTTCATATTTTGAAAGCAGTCGTCGGTTGAATTTTTGTCAAAATTGCACATAAATTGAATTTAAAGACGTTGATACTTGTCCAGGAAATAAAATGCGCCACTATAATTATGAGATTCGGATATTAAAGATGTTCGGTTATATTTAAAACGTGGACAGGATGGCATACTCGATCGAGGGCATACTGTATTAATCTAGTGGCGACAGCATCAAATGCAGAATATATTTCGCTGAAATTTGAACTTTTGACAGATATATATCTTTAACACAACAGAACTCAGAAGACAGAAAATTTGATATAATACTGTGCCTGTACAGGGCTTAGAAAGCGAAATATTAGTTTCAAAGTAAACTAATTTGCTGTTTGAGCAACGACTTCTGACTTTTGAATGTAAACACAACACAAATAAAACCCGAGAAACTTTTAATTGCGCCGATATGAATTTCCAGTTCGCCCAAACTTCGAAACGTTTATACATGTAACTTCGCTATACTTTTCTACATGCAACGATAGATTAATCTTTTAGAATTTTTCGTCGAAGCCATGACATATCGGAAGAATTTAATAGCAACATTTGGACATATCCTGATCTACTCGTTCTCGAGTTTCCCGATTGCTTGTTTGTCATTGTTAACAAAATTTAAAATTTCGCCTGTTGCATAGCTTTTGCATTTTATATACGTCGGTTGTTTGCAGAACACGCGAGAAGATGATCACAATATTATTCTACGTAAACATCGTGAAGTTCAAGGCTACAGACTACAGTATAAACAGATTTCCAAAATATCTCCACGGCGGCCCAGTCTGCATTCAGGGGCCCTTTCGCCACAGATCTGTGGCGGGCAGCAAGGTCTGAATGACCCCGCCAAGGAACATTTGGCGGGCATCACAGCATCTATAAGCTGTGCTTGGCGGGGAAACTGGCGTAACAAGAGGAATTTTCCCGATTAAGAAATGGCGTACAACAATTGCTGTCAACAAGCAAATAAAATTTCTTCTTTATTCTGTAAGTGAACCGACAAAGCATGAAAAACAGAAACACCATCTGTTTGGAATTAAAACCGTATATATTCGCTATTCCCGCCCCCCGGGTATACTTGTCGTAAGATCTCGTTCCCAGTCCCCCAGAGCCCTGTTAGCGTTCGCTCCGAGACCGTAAACATGTGCTAAGAGTCGCTAGGCGCTGGCAAAACTAATCTTTATGGTGAGTCAACCGATTTAATGCTCATCTCATTTACAATTTTCAATTTCACCAGTCACCACAAGGGTTTTTCTTTGCTTTTTATTTCTCGTGCTGATTGTTAACTTGCTGAATCAGTCCTGATTCATCATCATGAATTCTCAAGCATGAATTATTTATAAATTAAATCATTTGATTTTCGAAATTCAACTTTCACTTCGGTTTACATTTCATGTTATTAACTCAAACTGTCAATCTGTCATCAAATATGTACACGACACGTGACACTACCAACACTGTACATTATTTATATTGTATTGAATTTGAATAATGCATGAGGTCAGTGACTCAGTGTTCATGAGTGTGCCTGGTTCATGAGTGTGACACTAAACGAAGAGGCTGTGTACAAATCCATATACACTGATGAAGATGTGTATACAATGTTTGGAAAGGAGGTCTGTCTAGTAATTGATATCGCGTTGGCTAAGGGTGGCCCAGAATCGATTGTAGAGTCTTATTACTCAACAACGAAATCCCAACAGCAACCTCCAGGTCAAAGTAACGACACTTTGTCACTCCGTACCAAGCTGAACTGGTGTCTACCGAATGTCGTGCAGGAAGACAGGATGATCAAAGAGGTTGCAAATCTCTACATCAATGGTGACAAGAAGAAAGGGCTAAAAAAACACAAAGCTCCTGTGCTTTGTGAGCGACCACCTACTGGTCCTACAGGCGGCAACACCAGTAAAGTGATCAAAAGAATAGAGAAAAGTGACGCTAGGTTACCATTTCTATTATGAAAATGCAGACGCAGTGATCACGTATTAATGAGCGGCCAAGATCACAATCACGTTGGGATTTATATATACTTTTACTTGCAATAATCATCCAATATTGCTTGTGTTTCATATTGCCTTTATTTATAATATTACGTTTCATTTATATATTATGCAGTTAACGTTTTATTAAAGCAATAACTGCAATTTATATATTCAGTATTGTTGCACTTCCATGTATAATACAGTGAATAACTTGTTTATAAATTCACAAGCCAAGATTGATTGTCTGCATGTCTGACTCTGACCGACTCATTCGTATCATCTTTAAAACAAAGGTTTCTAGTGTGATTTTTATTAGATGGCGGTTGGCGGAAGGTGTAAGGATAATGTCGAGTTTTTTTCAGCTTCAGCTTTTTCAGCTTTTTTTCGCAGAAAATGCTGGCGGAAATATGTGGCGGGGAAAAAATATAGAATGCAGACTGGCACGCAAGTAAACAAATTTCAACCCAAACAATATATTCCCATGTGCAAGCGCTTTCCCCAGTAGCTAAACCCTCAATAAGGCGGCTTCCCATTGGCTCTAACTCTTTTGAACACTGCCAGATGATTGGCTCCTAAAACAAAGGGAATAGAATGTGCAGCTCGTTTCAGCAGACGTTAGGCGAGGGTTAGAGCTATAACAACGTCTGCGAGAGAGACTACTCGACACTCGACCAATAGATAAACTCACCGGATTGGCCTGCTTACACTGCTTCGGCATATACCGGATTACTTTTCATATCACCTCCAAAGCGAAGTGATTTTCGCGCCGCGGCCACGTACCGGATTATAGTGGCGTAGTGTAAACAAGAGCCCAATCCGGTGTCACAGCGGATTTGGACTCCCCGCGGATATGGACCCCCCGGTCCATATCAGCTAGCGGATTCGGACCCCTACGGTACATATCCGCTAGCTGATATGTACCCCCTTCCGCGGAATTGGAAAATTCACAAAAAGAAGTTTTGAAACGATTTGCAGTTGAATGTGCATGGAAATTTAGGCGTCAGTTTAATTTAATTATGATAACATTAGAGTAATGTCATGCTCAACTATCTTGGAATTTGCTTAATGACGAAAACAAGTATTGAGATGCTAATTTTATCTAGTTTAGGGTTGAATGGAATGCATCACTTTGTATGGGTATGTTAAGGCAAATATAATTTTTTGAAATATATTTTCATCGGTTTTCCGTTTTTATTTGAGCAGTTAAGAGTCAGAGCAGATAGCAATTCCAAGGAGTAAAATACTTGTGAAGGCTTCATGCGCTTCTCAGTTCTCGCACATTCCAAGATCATAGAAATAAACTCATGTAGCAGAAAAATTACGTAATCATGTAGCAGATAAAATACGCGAGGGGTCCAAATTCGCGAGGGGAGTCCAAATCCGCTAACGAAGCGGTTTATGCGCGATATACCAAGTCACGGGTAACGTCACAAGTCAAGAGCGACGTCACACCAGTAGGAGATAATGGATTATATCATTTCGTTTTGTTCTTTGTTTTTTAAATAATAATTTTAGCTACCTATTTGTTTTGGATCGTCAGGCTTTTTGGCTGGTGCATTTGGATCGTTTCTTTTTTGTAGATCATTCGGATCATTTGCTTTTTGTGGATCATTTAGATCATTTGCTTTTTGTGGATCATTAGGATCATTTACTTTTTGTGGATCATTTAGATCATTTGCTTTTTGTGGATCATTAGGATCATTTACTTTTTGTGGATCATTCGGATCATTTGCTTTTTGTAGATCATTTGGATCATTTGCTTTTCGTAGATCATTTGGATCATTTGCTTTTTGTGGATCATTTGGATCATTTGCTTTTTGTGGATCATTTGGATCATTTGCTCTTTGTAGATCATTTGGATCATTTGCTTTTTGTAGATCATTTGGATCATTTGCTTTCTGTGGATCATTTGGATCATTTGCTTTTTGTGGATCATTTGGATCATTTGCTTTTTGTAGATCATTTGGATCGTTTGCTTTTTGTGGATCATTTGGATCATTTGCAATTCAAGGCGCCAGAAGAAAAATCAAACTTGCGCGTACGGCGCAACTAACATTCTATAAACAATTAGTCATCCGTAGCTACTATTGCGGTGCAGGGGACGTTTAAACGATAAATAGTACTGTATTATTTAAAATAAAGCTATTGATATAAACATTTACGCCTGTATTCTAAAAGCTCACTCACACTCACACTCAATGAGTGGACACTCATTCTTAATGAGTACAACTCACCACTCAATGAGTGTCCACTCACACTCACATAGTATAATGCGACACTCACACTCCAACTATTCAAAGACACCACTTACGCTCAAGTGAAGCTCCGATTTTGAGTAAAGTGTGAGTGAGAGGTATACGTCCCTTGAGCCGCACTCAGTTCGATTCACCTTGTACTTAGTGGTTCAAATATGCCGAAAGGTGGTCAAGAAGGTTAGAATTACTGGACAATGTCGCAAGAAACAACCGAGACAGGAGAAGACCATATATTTTTGATTATGGGAAATATGACGAAGAGCAGTTTTGATGCAGATACCGGGTAACTAAGGCTGGATTTCGAGAGTTACTGGATGTAATTATGCCAGAAATATCTGCAAACAACGACCGAGGAAACCCATTCCGCAGATATACAACTTTTGTTGACGCTCAAGTTTTACGCCACGGGAACATTCCAGTTAGCATGCGGAGATGTGGGTGAGATTTCGCAGCCATCAGTGAGTCGAATTATGAAGCGAGTATACCGAGGCAATCGCACGCTTAAGGAACAATTATATAACATTTCCCGTGAAGGTGATATTTTGGGTCAACTCAAAATTCATTTCTGGCGAAATTGTGCATTCCCAAATATTGTGGGTGCCAATTGACTGTACACACATAAAAATACCTTGCCCGGGATGTGAAAATGCTGAACTATTTAGAAATCGAAAAGGATATACTTCTCGATAAACGTACAAGCTTTTTGCGGGCCAAATTTAGAAATTTTAAACATTGTTGCACGTTGGCCAGGTAGCGTACATGATGCCAGAATATTCGACAATAGTCGCATATGTGCACAGTTTGATCGTGGTGATATCCAGGGTATATTACTTGGTGATAACGGTTATCAATGCAGCCAATATCTAATGACACCAGCAATTGATCCGCAAACCCGACCGCAACGCAGATATAATGTAGCACAAATACGTACACTAATTTAGTTAACAGCTGCTTTTCCAATTGCGAAAAATATTGACCACCTTCAGCCATATTGTTCAGAAACGCCGTAAGAATGAATTGACAAGTCTACAACAGTCTCACTAGTTTATATACCTTGTGTCGTTAATTGTACATCAACATCAAACCCAAACTCCAGCAAGTCACACTCGAGTGAGCTCTTTGAATACAAATCTGGCTAATATTTTCAAGGGTGAGTGCTCCCTCGTTGAGTGGACACTCACACTCATACTCCACTTTCACTCACACTTCAACCCTACTTGAGTGCATCTCATTCGAGTCACACTCAAGTGTGAGTGTGAGTGAGCTTTTTGAATACAGGCGATAGTTGCTTTCTTGCGATATACGAAATCCAGGCTGCTAAACCAAATCTGCTGGAACACCGGCACAGAAATTGCGTCGCTTCGATGCAATCCGGTATAGTGTAATCGGGGCCTAAATAGGTTGAAGACAATACATTTCTAAAGAGTTTCACTCATAAAATGTACAACTACTTTCAACACAAATTTGCGTGACGCTTCATGAATAATTTGGTAGATACTATAGCCTATACACACTACATGTCCAGATAACACGAATACATGTCGGGTATACCAAAGTTTTTAAAGTTTTCATTTTAATATTTATACTGTACTATATAGGCAGTTACCTGTGTTGATGTATCAGTGAACTTCATATTCCTATTTTCGAACACGATGTGACATTTCTTGTTTTGGAACAAATACGTTGTTGTGACTATTGTAAAAACAATTACTCCTGCGAATGTAGCAAAATATAGTAGTTTTAGATGTTTATTCTTCATTCATATGCCGTTGTGGATGTAGTGTTTTTTTGATTCGCTGAAACAAAATAGGCCGTTATGTTTAGTGCGTAGAAAGTGTCCCTTTTTGTGACTTCAGTTTGAATATCAACGATAACAGCCAGAACTGAGCAGATGACGCTTAATAAGCAGGTGACACTTAATCAACATGGCGGTGTAATATTAGCCTGCTCACTGAGCAGGTTAGTGTAATATGGTCTCCTATTACTGTATTACATTCTGTCCGCCTTTGTTAGATATTTTTACTGTATCCAAACACAGTTTAGCGAGAAATTTTAAACGATATTAATGAATTAAATGGAGAGTATTGATAAGGATTCGTCAAAATTGTGTAATGCGCAAGATACACCAACTGATGAGAGTTTTCTAAATGCGTCACAAGATGTTCAAGATGAAAAGCGCATAATTTTTGGATGAAATGTTAAATGGAATGCAACAGCAAATCAACTTCGTTACAGATCTCTTTAATAAAGTGATCCAATCGAATGTCAACCTGCAACAACAACAATATCAGCGGATAATGTATCCTCCATTCCCACCATATTTTATAATCCTCAATTATTGAATCAAGCTTAGTATATATTAAACAATTCTTATTACATATACATTAAACGTTTTTATTCATACATTTAAACTTTAATCAATGGCAAAAATTTTCTTCGTTTTGCAGTTTGGAATATTGAAGGTCTGTTAGAGAATTTTGATTTAATCTCCTTAGTGGAAACATGGCTACCCTATGGCCAAAATAATATTAATATTGACGGTTTCTTTTCATTTTCAAAAAAACAGAAAAGACATTTCCCAAAACTCACGTAGAAGTTCTGGCGGAATAACTATTCTTGTTAAATCATCTTTAAGAGAAGGTGTTAAATTTCTAGATACGGAAAGTAGCTACTGAAGAGTTTGTATGGTGGAAATTGGATAAAACATTCTTTAACCTTCCACATAATATTTTCATTTGCACTGTTTATCTACCACCTCAGTATTCCTCCCGTGAAACACGTATTAACATTAATCATTTTGAAAGTCTCCAAAATAGCATTTATAAATTCACAATGTTAGGTAAGGTAGTTTTATGTGGCGACTTTAATGCTCGAACAGGTGTCCTACATGATTTTATTGACGATCCCTTTTTTAGGGATGAAATTTATGTCTCATTCACAACGGATAAACGATCCTCCAGAGACTTGCATGTGAATACATATGGGTGGTCCTTAATTGATTTATGTATTGGAAATAGTATGGTTACACTAAACGGTAGAACTAAAGGTGATCTCATTGGCCAGTTCACGTGCCATTGGCCAGTTCACGTGCCAAACGTATAATGGAGCAAGTGTTGTTGATTATGTTCATTTGGTTATTTGTTGATTTGGTTCATTTGTTGATAAATGGTTCATTTGGTTATTACTATGGCAAAGTTCACTTGTTGACAACGTATATGTCTGAAGATGGAAATCGTAGTATCGGGCAAGGAATACAGCTAACTTTGTTATCGCAAGCTAATCCCGAAGTGTTGCTCAACCAAGCCGAACGAGCTCAGATTTGCATGTGTCTTCAACCGAATATTTGCATATTACAGAAACCTGTTGCAAAGGACAAAAGGCTAAATCGCAAGCGTCTAAAATCTCGCATTCAATATTATTCCAATTGTGTGGCAACGTTTCAGTTGCTGATTATTACCTGTGGAGATATTCAAACAAACCCAGGACCTTCTACAACTGAACCAACATCAAGTAACAACCAATGTTATCGGCGTGTTTCTGCGGTTAAATGTCCAACATGTGAGAAAACTGTTCGACGCAATCAAAAACGTATAGTTTGCAATATTTGCAAAGACTTGTATCATGCACGTTGTATCGAGGCAGTTATACCACAACACATCCCATCCGACAAGCCCGTTGAGCAGACATGTGATAGATGTTTAATATCACTGCTACCCTTCCATGGCCAACCTAATTTAGACGCTTCTTTTCGACAAGAAACCAGTGACGATCTTCTCAACGACATACCCGATGAACATCTCAATGTCCTCACTAGTAGTGCTAACCAACTTAGGCTTGCACATTTAAACACACAAAGTACGGTGTCGACATTTGATGAGCTACTCGTCACCATTTCTAAATATCCATTTGATATAATAGCAATGAGTGAAACATGGCTAAAGAACAATCCTCACTTATTAGAATATGTTAACATTCCTGGCTACTCTAGCGCCTTTCGCAACCGAGATAAAATTCGAGATAAAATAAAGTTGGTGTGTATATGAGGGATACTATTAACTACAAGAGGCGTACAGATATTGAAGACATCGAACCTGAACTAGAACACATAAGGCTGGAAATACCTGGTAAAAATAAACACAGTAAGATGTTGCTCGGAGTATTGTATCGATCGGAGCCTTTACAGGACTTCCAAGCTTGGATGGACAAGACCGAAAATTTGCTAAGCCAGCTAAATGTCCTCTGGGATGGTCTACTTGTCGTCACCGGCGACATGAATATCGACCTGTTGAAACCTGAATTACCCCAAGTTAAGAAATATACTGATTTACTGGAATCGCTGAATCTTTATCAACACGTGCAATGTCCTACTCGTACTGCTCCTACTTCTGCAACACTTATTGACCACATAATTAGTAATACCCCAAACCGTGTCACCTATTGTAATGTATTACCATGTCCTACAGTCAGCGACCATGATGCGCCTTACGTTTGCATTAATATAAGAGCTTGCAGATTCCAGCCACGATTTAAATTACTACGCGATGAAAAACAGTCTGATGAAAAAGCTTTTATAGGCGATATTGCATCACTTCCATTCAATATCGTTTACGGTATCGATGATCCTGATCAGCAACTAGATATATTTAACTCATTAATAAAAGATTGCCTCGACAGACATGCACCACTACGCAGATCTAAAATCACGTGCCCTCCTGCGCCCTGGTTAAATCACAGTGATGTGAAACAACTTCAAAAAGAACGAAACGAGCTCAGATATTTGGCTCACAAAACAAACCTGAGTCATGTCTGGAATAAATTCCGCGAAGTAAGAAACACTATACAGACAAAGATTAAGAAGGTCAAGAGAGCTTTCTATCAGAAAGCATTATCATCAAAAAAACCGAAAGAACTTTGGAAAGTAATACACCGCATACTTCATCCCAATCCCAAACCTATAAATGCGGATCCCGACCAATTGAACAGCCACTTCAGCTCTACCTCGCAACGTCTACTCGGGTCAGGGCCGACTTCCCCAAGTGCTTTGCAAGAACTAGTAAACTCTTTACCAGTCTGTATGTCCAACTCGTTTAATATTTGTCCTGTTGCCCATAGTGAAGTACTGAATCAGTTAAGAACAATAAGATCTGACTGTTCGACAGGAATTGACCAGATTCCGGTAAAATACCTTAAAATGGCAGCTGATTACATCGCCTCACCATTGACCTATATCATCAACGGGTTTATTGCAAATCACAGCTTTCCAGATGTTTGGAAGACTGCACGTGTGTCACCTATACCCAAAGTAGCCTCTCCGACAGAGTTAAACCATTATAGACCAATTTCTATTCTCCCGGCTCTTTCCAAAGTCTATGAACGCCTCACTCTAAATCAAATTGTAAAATACATCGACCAGCATAATGTATTAAACGAGAATGTTACTGGCTTTCGTAAAGGCCATGCCACCTCATCTGTCCTATTACGAGTATGAGACGATGTTTTAAAGGCTATGAAAAAAGGAGAAATTACTCTTATTGCATTCGCCGACTTCTCGAAGGCGTTCGATACAGTGGACTTTGCCGTAATAATAAAGAAACTTCATGCCATTGGCTTTTCACACTCATCGTTAAATTGGATTCTTAACTACCTTACTGGTCGGAAACAACTTGTTTAAGTAAATGACAGCCAATCTGAACTAGCAGACGTGTTGTTTGGTGTTCCGCAGGGATCGATATTGGATCCCATGCTTCTCAACCTTTACGTCAACGACCTCCAAAATGATTTTACCTGCAGGTGCTTCCAATACGCCGATGATACAACAGTTTACCGTAGTTGTACTCCTAAAAATCTCAGTCAATGTGTGCAAGAAATGAATGACAACATACAAACTCTCGAAACTTGGGCCACAGAATCCAATCTTAGCCTCCTCCGCAGGCCTCTCTATGGGTTCTAGCCTGCGAATGGGTTTTGAAAAAAAAATTTTCTGGGAGAGAGGCCTGCCATAAATCGAACAAAATGGACGTGTCAATGTACCTTAGTGGCCGTGTCAATGTACCCCACCCCCTAAGTAGGCTTTTGACCCTAATTATATATTCAGTTTGAAATCTTCAGGCGAGGAGCGAAGCTTGCGAGTATTATTAACTTTAAAAATGTTTTAAAATGCATCGAAATATTCAAGTTATACGAAAATTAGTTGGTCAATTGAAAGGATTATATATCGCATTGTCTCTCGCGGTCTAAAAACGACGTGCAAATTTAATTGAATCGCTCGCTCGAAGCAACCAAATGTTTACAATGTATCAAATGTTCAGCCGAGGAACTACAATTTGAGGAAATTATCTGGCATAATTTCGAACGCAAAACGAAGAATGGAACGATACGAAAGGTATAATTTGTTTAATAAAGGAATAATATTAAATTGTATTGTTTTCTGGAATATTATTTTGCATGTTTATTTATATGAAGGGGTTGTCCGTGTTGACATTTTGATTATATTTTACTAATTTTAGTCAAATCATCAGACATTTGGCAACATGTTAAGTGAATTGATATATAAAAGGAAAAGATCTTTCTGTTGAAGCAACCATTTCAATAAGTGAGGAGAGATAACAACTTGGAAATATCAACTACAGAAATTTGATTACTACAAAAATCAAGATTTTGTTGGCATCTTAAACCTGGTTTACATATGCCTGCATTATCATTGTTTACAGCTGTTGATGCATACATTCTTTTGTGAATTATTTAGTTGAACTTTTAACGACAATAGCCCATCAACAAACAGCAGGTATATGTGAACCAGGCTTCACTTGGTTAAATAGTTAATTGGAACTCACCCCCTTAATTAATATCATGTGAATATGCTAAACCCATTAAGTTGCATTGTAACACATGTAACAACCTCTTTCCAATATAGTATATGCCTAGTTATGTTACACGTACTGGCCACATGACATCCATGATTTGATAAATAAAGAAATTTATGATGTATCTGCATATTCTCTAATTATATGTATCTCCCTTGTTCATGTTTAAATAAAATTGCTCTTGACATATATTTGTTTTAAATATAATAAATCTAGATCGGCATGAATCATGTAAGAGCCTACAATGCCAGGGGCCCACAACAAGTTCTTGTTGTCTCATCGCTTGCCGGCACGCCCCTGCTTTTACTCTGTCTAACATCAGACAATTTTACTATTCCAGGGGAGAGTGCAAACAATGGGCTAATCTAAAGCTTCACAGCTTACAATTAATATGTACCCACCATTGAAAGACTTTTGGGTGGTTAATGCAACAATTAATAGCAAAACATGTAGGGATGGATTTACTGGGGGGGGAGGGTGCACACCTCCCTCCCTAGCCCTGGCCAGGGGGTATGTGTGTGCTATTTTTCATGATAAAGCAAAAAATATTAGAGACAAAATGAGATATTGTACACAGTAAACTTGTACCACATGGAGGTTGTTTTGCCAAATTGTCAAAATACTGCTGTTGCTGTATATTAATGGCGGGCTGCACACATGACGACACAACTCGAGTCACTCGACATCAGAGCTGGCAGAGCACCCCCCTACCAGATCATGCTGGATCCATCCCTGAAAACACGTCTAACACTGGGAAGTTTCGTCAGTGACTGTATGGTTATAGGGAAATTTGCCTTGCAAAATGGATTTTACCCATGTAAATATTTTGTCTGTAAACTTTGGCAAGCAAAATGGAATGTATGTAATGCCTCCATTGGTTAATTAACAAATCCAAGGCAAATGTTATTAAAACAGGTCTTCATACATGTTGCACCACATGGAAAACTATTAGATTCTTATTAAAT